CAATCTCACCCATGAACATCGATGCAAAAATTCTCAATAAAATGCTGGTAAACCGAATCCAAGAACACATCCAAAAAATTATACATTAAGATCAAGTAGGCTTCATCCCAGAGAGGCAGGGCTACTTCAACATATGAAGATCTATCAATGTAGTGCATCATATAAATAAACTGAAGAAAAAAACCATATGATCATTTCATTAGTTGCTGAAAAAGCATTTGACAAAATTCAATACTCCTTTATGATAAAGGTCTTAGAGAGATTAGTGATGCAAGGTTCATATCTAAATATAATAAAAGCAATATATAGCAAGCTGACAGTCAACATCAAATTAAATAGAGAGAAACTCAAAGCCATTCCACTAAAATAAGGAACAAGACAAGGCTGTCCACTCTCTCCATATCTCTTCAAAATAGTGCTTGAAGTTCTAGTAATAGCAATAAGGCAATATAAAAAGACCAAGGGGATTCGATTGAATAGGAAGAAGTCAAGTTTTCATCATTTGCAGATGATATAATAGTGTATATAAGTGACCCCAAAAACTCTACTAGAGAATTCCTACAACTGATAAATACCTTCAGTGATGTGGCAGAATACAAGATCAACTAAAAAAATTAGTTGCCATTCTATACACAAAGGATAAAGAAGCAGAGAGGGAAATCAGAGAAACATCACCTTTCACGATAGCCACAAATAGCATAAAGTATCTTGGGGTAACTCTAACCAAGGAAGTGAAAGATCTATTTGACAAGGACTTTAAGTCTCTGAAGACAGAAACTGAAGAGAATATCAGAAAATGAAAAGATCTCCCATGCTCTTGGATTGGCAGGATCAACATAGTAAAAATGGCAATTCTATGAAATCTACTATAGATTCTACCAATCTACTTTATAGATTCAATGCACTCCCCATCAAAATCCCAACAAAATTCTTCACAGACTTTGAGAGAACAATAATCAAACCGAACTCTCTGAATGTGGCTGACAATGAGGGCTGACTGAGAAGCCAAGGACAATGGCACTGGGTTTTGATTCTACTGCATGGACTGGCTTTGTGGGAGCCTGGTTTGTTTGGATGCTCACCTTCCTAGACCTGGATGGAGAGGGGAGGACCTTGGCCTTCCCACAGGGCAGGGCACCCTGACTGCTCTTAGGACTGGAGAGAGATGGGGAGGGTGAGTGGGGAGAGTAGGAGGGAAATGGGAGGAGGGGAGGAGGGGGAAAATTTTAATAAAAAATAAATTAAAAAAATTCTTGTTAGAGGGTTGGTGGAGCCAGGGGAGACAAAGGAAGGCAGCCATTCTTTCAAGATACTTTTTCTGTCCTGGAGCCTCTGTGATCAAGGACAATGCCTCCCTTTATTTGTTCATTTGTCTTACATCCCAACTGCAGTTTTCCCTCCTTCCTCTTGTCTTTGTGTTGTTTAATTGATGCTTAGCATAGCAAAATGTTTTTTTTTTTTTTTTTTGATTTTTCGAGACAGGGTTTCTCTGTAGTTTTTGGTGCCTGTCCTGGAACTAGCTCTTGTAGACCAGGCTGGCCTCGAACTCACAGGGATTCACCTGCCTCTGCCTCCCGAGTGCTGGGATTAAAGGCGTGCGCCACCACCGCCCGGCTCAAAATGTTTATTTTTATTCCAGATCATTTTCTGTGTCTTCTTTCTACTTCAGTGTATTTCAGCAGCTGAAAGGGGATGGATGCAGAGGTTTGGTGCCACATTTCCAAACTTTCCTGTATGTTCTGAAATGAGTGTTCTCAGCCTTTGGCTAGAACTTCACAGACAAGAGCTGATGAAACGCCCAACCCTTACCACCCTGTGATGCTAACCTCCTCATGTTTTTAGGCATTTGGCCTATCTAAATGCCCCCAGTTACTCTAATGTATGCCACCAATTGAGAACCATAGCATAACCATCAATATATACAATATGGAAGCTATTTAAGCTCCTATTAGTGCTACCTCAACTAAAATACACTTTAAAAGTTGATAATCTCAAAATAAGGAGAAAGGAAAATGATAGCTGACTCTTTTGTCACAGAGACATTTTAGAGACTCAGTGAGTATATTGCAGGATGGCTAAGGCAGAATCAAAGTGAAAATTACAGCAATCTATTTCTTTATTGATTTGAGACCTTTAATGACTTAAGCATTATTTAGCGGGTCCAGAGTATGAAAAGAAGACTAGAAAAGAGTTTCTGCTCTCAATAACAAACTGTAATAACACCAGAACTTGGGATTAGGAATACAACAATAGGGACTCTACTTTTTATTTTCAAATTGTTCATCTAAATCTGTTGATGAGGAAATGTTCTCCTTTTCTCCTTTTTAGAAATTCTGGTAGATCTGGAACTCTATAATTATTTATTTAATTTGGTGTCTTTTATTTACTTAAAGTAGTCAAAATAGACATTTTAGAAAATTTCAAAAACAAGAAAATAAAAATTATTCTTAGAATTATTTTGCATTTTAGTGACTTTTTTCTTTTGTATTTCTTTGTGAATATAAGTTTGCAAAGACATTTATTTATTCTTCTTTATTAATAGTTAATAATTAATTAAATAATAAATAATAAATAAATAATTAATCTTGCATCCTACTAAAGCCTCCCCTCTCTCCTCTTCTCCCACCATCTGCCTCCTCCTCACCTCTATGTACCCCTCATTCTGATCGTCCAGAAAGGGGCAGGCCGCCCATGGTCTTCAGTAAAGCATGGCATATCTAGCTGCCATAAGACTCAGTGCTTCTCTCCGTATTCAGGCTGAGTAAGGCAATCCAGCCTGAAGAATAAGTTCCCAAGAGCCACCAGAGACAGCTTGTCCTCCCATTGCCTGAGGTCCTACATATAGACCAAGCTATACAACTGACACATATATGCAGAGGGCCTAGGTTGGTCCTATGCAGGCTCCCTGGTTGTTGGGTCAGACTCTGTGAGATCCCATGATCCAGGATAGTGATTTCCATAGGTTTTCCTACAATGTTCCTGACCCCGTTTCCTAAAATCCTTCCTAGACATAAACTTCTTGTGTACTATATTTTTATTTATGCTACAACACACCAGCTTAATTCCTTGAAGTATTTTGTCCAAAGTGTGTAGTTTCTTCAGCAATAGGATTTTACCTTCAAGTTCTGTTAAGACGACAAAGGGCAACAGCAATAGCCTATTATTTTTGGGATAGTCTCTTGTATTCCCAGGACCAACAATTCAAAAAGAGGTTCCTTGTGTCTGGTATTGGGGTTTTGTTAAATAGAATATGGCTCTTGGAGTATAAAATTTATACCTTTGTGGTATAAATTTTAAATTATTTACATATATTGACACATACACTTATGTAGATATTCAATGTGATTTTAGTTAGATATTAAAATGTTTCTTTATGGTTTTTTTCAAACATCCTTAGTGTTATTGATTCCTCACCCCTTTCTCTCTGTCTATAGTCTATATCCTCTGTTCCCAGTTAAATCTCCCTCACTTTTCCAATTTCCCCCTGTGTTCTGCTATTCCTCTCTCTAGAGTTCCTTCTCACCACCTGATCCCCTTTACTTTCCTGTATTTACTCCAAGTTATAAATTCCCATCTAAAGATTAAGAGCCAGGATCCACAAATAATATAGAATATGTGTTATTCATCTCTTTGCATTTAGGTTATCTCATTCAGTATAATATGCTTTAGTTCTATTCATTTCCCTGCAGAATTCATGATTTCATATTTCAATAGCTGAATAATATATATGCATGTATATATATTTTATTATCCTTTCATCAGTTGAATGACTGTTAGGTTGTTTTCATTACTAGCCATTATGAATAGAGCAGCAATGAACAAGGCTGAGCAAGTGTCTGTGGAATATGATGTTGAGTCCTTTGCACGGGCCATACAATAGACCTACATTTTGATTTCTGAGAATTCTCCATACTGGTTTATAGGACTGCTTCAGCTTGTGTCTGATGCTTCCTAAGGTTGTTAAATATCTGATGATCACCCTCAACTCCAAATTTTCTTGCCTCTATTTCTCAAGTGCTGGGATTATAGACATACATTAGCATGCCTAGTTTTATGAAATATTGGAGATCTAACCTAAGGCTTTGTGTATGCTAATGAAGCATGCTACCAATTGAGGTAAACTCCACTCCTCTATTATTTATAGGCTTTCTCTATATCTAGACAGATCCTGAATCTGAAATCTTCCCAAGTGCTGGAATCTTAGGTGTAAGCCACCAAGGCCAGCTACCCATTCTTCTTAAACAGAAAAATAATCCTATAGTTTAAGTCACAAAACACAGTACAACTGTAGTAATTGAAGTGACTAATAAGTACTGAGGAATAATAAAATCCCTGATTTTCACTAGCCCTCCAATTTCTGTCCTCCTTGTATTAGTTTTGATTTGTTTCTGCTTAGGATAAAACCTGGGGCTGTGGCATGCTGTTTGAGTGTCCTACCACCAAGTAACCATTCTAATCCTAGTGGTACGTTTTAAAACAGATTTAGAAACCCCAAAAGAGACACGAATTCTTAACAGGTTTTTTACGTTCCTCATTTAGTTTCTAAAGTTCCCATAAATTCATGCACTGTAGGAACAGAAACTAGTATTATTTATCAATCCCTGGAGTCAAGAAAGGTGATCGCTTCAAAATAATGATATCATTTAAAATTAATTTTTACAGGACTTAATGGACTGTGACATTGTAGTTTGCAGTTAATGGGTTTACCTAGTAAAGAGCACCACACTGATATGAAGTATGAAAGGTCAACTGAAGTGTTATAATTATTTGAATAGGTTATGCATCTTATGTTAACTAGTGTCTATTATTTTGATGGACTTTGGCTGGAGATAAGAGCAAGAAGCTGTGTCTTACAGAATCCTTACTGAACAATTTTAAATCATTTACCATATATGTGAGTTCATGATGAATCATACCATCAAAATGCACATAACATCTAGATTCTTGGGTTGGCTTATCAAAAACTTTAATGTTCACCCCCCAAAAAGAAACAACAAACACATGGTCAAACAGATTTATTTTTAATTACTTAAGTGTGTCTTAATCTATTAATGGGATTATAATGGAAGATACAAAAGAACAACAAAGGTAAGACTTCCACTCTCATGAAAAATAAAAATCAGTTGGCAATACTGCACAAAACAGCAAGACTAAAGGATATCTACTAAATAGCACAATACCAGTCAATACAAAGTAAATCCACATAAGAACAACCACCAGTGACTGTATAAGGCATAAGGAGGGGATGATTGGGAAATACATCTTGGGAGGTGGGAAATCATCAATTTGTATTCCAGGTGCCCAAATTCAGAGCTTACTTGTAGGCCTTGTGTAATTAAGTTTCACCTCTGTTGCATTTGGTTTATTCACCTCTAAGGGAGAATATGAGCTCCAGATGGTAGTCAGTGTCTTCCAGTTATAACAAGACAAGACTGTAAGTACAACGACTCCAAAGAACTTGAGTAGGTGAGGACATAATACACAGGAGAAAAGAAAAGCCACAGGGTTTTGAAAAAAAAAACTGTGTGCATGGCCAGTTAGGTTGTGAGATAACAAGGAGCTTGAGCAAGCCTGTGTGTCTGTTCTAAAAATTGAGAGGGCAGAAAAGTTGGAAATGGGTGGAACACAGTAGGGGAGCTCACAAGCAGCCAAAATGGAAAACAAGTTACTGTAATTTCTCACTCCATGTTCTCTGCGTCTTTGTGAAATTTTATAACAACCCCTTCCCAAAGCCTTCCTGCTGCACAGAATGAAACGACTGTGGGTGTGGATGGCCCTTCCTTAGAAACGCACAAGCAGGCCCCTTTTGTGGGCCAGGAAACCAAGAGCTGTTGCTGAAAAGATGGTGGTCAATCCAAGCAGCTTTAGCAGACCTGGTATAGAAGGCAAGTGTCTCTCCAGGAAGGTGCTGGTAATGGCTCGTGTAGGGACATCCTGGGTTCAAAGAACATTTGTGTGAGTGCAATGTTGAGCATGTCATTCCAGAAACTATTTCTTTCAGATTTATTTTAGAGTAACCCACTCATTCCAACCTCTGGTATAAAACACAACATTTCTTTGAGGCTCGCCCCCTCTTTTTCACATGGCCCTTTATGTGACTTTGCTAGTCTTTCTGCAACCTGAGGCTGAGATGGCTCCACCTCTCATATTTTCTCTCAGGGCATCCTCTGTCAGAATCGTACCTTGGGGTTATTCTCTGTCTTCCTACCTGAAAGCCCTCACATTCTCAGATCACAACGGTCTTTGCATATCATAAATATTTGTTGAGAGAGGATGGATGAATTTCCCCCTCAGCCCACCATCCTATTTCTAGTATAAGTACTAGGACAGTAATTTTGGAGTGTCAGGGCTATCTTCTATGGCCTTAGGTTTAAAAGGATAGAGGAATAACTGACCTTGTAGCTACACATTCTCTAAACTCTGTGCATCCTTCTTGCAAATCAGAAAAAAATTCTATGGTTTTATTACAAAAAATGTAATTGAAGTGAGTTTAAATGTGCTTTACTTTGTTCCACTCTTTTACCACAGGGTAAAGATAATAAACTTTTCCCTACCTCTTATTTTTCTACCTTATTTTCCTATTTCTTTTTGAGAATCATTAAATGAGACTACTCAGTAGCTCTTATGATTGAGTTCTTATTTTGAGTTTTTTTCTTCCGCTCTTTCTTTTGTTTCTTGTCTTGTTAGAGATAAAATCCAGGATCTTACACATGCTAAGCAAGCATTTTGCCATTGCTCAATGCTCCATCCCCACTCAATTTTAAATATGTCTAGAGTTCTCTACAAAATATTTCCTTATGATAAAAATCAAATTTTTCTTATTAATTTGCAAGAGATATAGCACTGTAAGTTTATCAAAGTTCATATAAACCCTTAATTTATGTGATTTATTTAGATAGATAGAATCATTAAGAAAAGAAATCTGCATATATACAAGTATGCTCATGGGAACAATCATTCTTAGAGTAAATTTGTGAAATATAGCTTACCACAGACTCTGGTTCTGGCTGCCAAATTTCATCTTCTGGAATCTTCCCAATGGCATGTAGAATCTGAAATGACAAATAGCAAAACAGATACTATCTTTCTTTTATTCTTTAAGAAAGAATGAAGCGAATGCCTCTTGGGCTATCCATCTAAAATGTCAAGGTAAAGGGCAGAGAAATCTACTTGACCTTTAGAAAGATCTCCAAAGATCTTTTATTTATGGTATAAAAGGTCTCAACCATTAGTTTCACTATAAATTTTAGTGTATGTGAACATACCTTAGTGGGAATGAGACTAGAAGACTTGCCAGAAAAAGAATAATGTGAATTTTGGATCCTTGTGGAAATATTTTTTGATTCTATAACATCAGGGCTAGGTGATATTTTTTATTTAAAATTTTAAAAAATGTATCTGTATGTGTACTTATTGAGTGTATATAAATGCATCAGGTGCTTGGAGGAAGCTTTGGAGATCACAAGAATGTGAGTGCTGGGAACCAAGCCTCTGCAAGAGCAATGAGTGCTCTTAACTGTGAGCTCCCTTTCCAGACCCTCTATTTTTAAAGATCTGTTGTATTTGTAGTTATATGCATGTGTGTGTGTGTGTGATGTGCAGACGTCCTCTGAGTCTGAAGATGGTATTGTTTCCCCTGCAAATGAAGATATAGGCAGTTGTGAGCTTCCTGACATGGGTGCTAGGAACCAAACTCAGGTTCTCTCAAAGAGTAGGAAGCTCTCTTAACTGCTGGACCATTTCTCCTCCCAACATCTCTTAAGTACAACTGAATTCTGACCTCCACTTTAAGTAAAATATTTTATATTTTCATTATTTTGTTTGATTAACCCGTTCCTTTTCCTTAAAATTGCTATTATTATGGTTTCCTAGGTCTATAGATGGGGAATACAGTTTGTGTGGGAATACTGCCAAGATCTCAGGTATCTTTGAGCTGTTTATCAAGCTTTTGTGCACCTCAAGCCCATGATCCTGGGCCCTACCTCTCTGGCAGCTCTCTCCCCAGCCTCCACAGCCCCCTCCATGTAGCCGCTCCAGTGTGTGGCCGTCTCAGTGCCTGCAAAGAAAATCCTGCCCACTGGCTGACGTAGAACCCTGGGAACAAAAACAAAGCAGTAAATGTCATTTCATAAATTCAGAAATGAGTTCTCTCATGAGGACCCAGGCTAGTTCATTTCTTAGATTAAAAACTTCTAGGAAGACACTGGCAATGTGCAATAATGTTCCGTGGGGGCCTCAGATATTCTGTTATCTCTGTCATGGGCAAAATGGAACAAAAGTTGAAGTTCACACACTCTGGTTCCTAGTGATTACAGGGAAAGGATCTGACATTAATATGGACAAAAGAAGTATTTGATTATATTTATGAAGTGAGAGACTGATTAAGCCAAGCATGTATGGTTACCTTTATATGAGGAAGATATCACATGCTTCTGATTTCTTACCATTAAACTTGACAGTTTCTTCTAACCAAGCTTTGTCCTCTTCATCTGTTTTAATAATTACTTGTTTCGTTTTGTTTTTGTATGATACAGGATGTATCCCAAGGCTTTATATGTGCTATATATGTGTTCCACTACTGAACCACATCCCCAGAACTTATCTATGTCTTAAAGGGATAGTCTAATGATTTTAAAGATGGTTTATAATAATGAAACTAAAGAAATAAATAAGTCTATGATTAATGATGATTAACTCCTATTTGCTACATTTCAGAACAATTACATCAAACTTTAAGTTAAAAATTGTTGGGCACCAGCTCTTCAAAGATCATTACTCCCCACCAAATCCCTAGTACTATTATTATACACATTTCCCAGAGGAGAATGTGGAGGCAGACTGTGGAAGGCCCTCTGATGTGCCACCAGGAATGAAGGACTTGTTTGTTGGTGGAAATCCTTCCAGAAGATGGTATTCTCATGCGGGCACTCATGGTGGCTATTTCCACTCGAGAAAGCTACATCATGACTCCTTCCAGCACCAGTGACTGACACAGAAATAAGTTTTTAAAAATGCAAGCCCCAAACTCTAACATGAGACCATTTGGAAGGACTATTCTACTCCCAGAATGCTTCCAGAATGCTTCATGGGGTCAGCTGGCACCTTTGTTGAAATTGCATTATCACCTTGCTTGCCCTTCCAGCTACTCTTGCTTCCTTCCTCCCACTTTCACTAGTGTCAATCCTAAGGACACAGCTGAATATCTATCCTGTTTACTGCTTGCTTCAGGGTCTGCTTCCTAGAATGCAACCAACAACAAAGGTGAAGTGCTTTTCTCTAGTTTACAGACAACAAATAGCAGAGGTAGTATTTGAAGCCAAGTGATCTAACAACTCTAACACAGTCTTGCTACATGTCACCTCTGTACTCCATTCTATTTTCTTTCTAATCTTTTCAAGAACTCCATGACAGACTACTAGTTAATGTCTCACATTACGTATAAACAAACAGGATCAGAGAAATATGTGGTGACTCAGAAAGAGCAACAGTGCTAGAAAACTGCAGAAGCTGCATTTGAAATATGTCGAGCAGCTGCCAACATCTCTATTTTTATCATTCATGTGTTACCTAATATATTACCATCACAGTTTCCATAGTGGTAACATTCTAAGCAAAGAGATGGAAAGGTCACAGGCACTTAGCATATAAAAATGAAAGTCCATTATCACGCTTACAAACACACCTTAAAAGGAGTACTATTTACAGCCATTTTCATTCCATCTCAAGCTTCCATGATCAAAAAGGTTCTTAACTGTTGAGCCACTTCTAAATCCTTGATTCTTGTCATTCTGTCGTCAGTATCACCTATAGCCCTGACACATCTAGCTTTGCCCAAGACTTCATAAGAACTTGCAGGATTCCAAACAATGATTGTTTCCATACCATTTGACCTAGACTTCATTCCCCAGGAGGCTTCTTCTGCCCCTCTACAGTCTGACACAAAGCCATTGCACTTCACTAGCTAAGATGAGACTGCAAAATTCCACAAGTCCCCAGAATATTTTTATAGCCCTTAACTAAAGCACTGGCGCTAGTACTTTAGTACTTTCATTTCTAATGTTCTGTCCTTCCTCTGCTTCCCACCATTGTCTCCAACACTGTGGACTCCTCAGAAAGGAGGTATTGATATTGACATTTTTTTGAAACGGTCAGGAAATGGTTAGCACTTATCCAGTACACACCAAATGAAACAATTGCTTGTGACTTAGTCTGTACCCAGCATATCTGAAAAGCAACCTAATGACTCAGAAGTTTATTGGACAATATCAGTATCCTTTAGCCCTCAGATTTTCTCTGGATTCTATTTTGGCCTCTATAGGCAAATAAGGAACATGATCTCCAGAATCATTAATCATCTTCTGCTAAACAAATTTTGACCCTTCTCCACACTGGTTCTCATGGAGAGCTGGATCAGTTGCCTTCACCCACCAGCACTCTGTGCTGTACTCTCTTAATGCCCTTTCATTATTTCTCCTGATTTAGTTTAGTATTGCTAGGAGAATTGGAGTAATGATCCTTAATTAACACCTTGTTATCATCATCAAATGCATTGAACTCAACAGCAGTGACTCATACTTGGATGCACAATACTCTGACTACTAAAAATCTGTGAACTCTGAATGGGCGAATCATATCATATGTTATAATCAGAATAAAGTTTCTAAAGAATAGCTCAGGTAATAATTACATTATCTTGTGTTTCTCATCCATGTGCTAAGAAAAATCAAATCCAACAACAATAAATGACTAAATAGGTGATTGTTAGGAATAGAGCAGGAACTCAAGCCCTTTCCTCCCTGGTCTAGAATTGATTCTAAGTTTACAGAGCCATGCCCACATTGACACAGAGTGGTGCCTGGGGAAGTTTATTGGGTTCCAGAGTAAGTATTAGAACACTGTACTGCCAGTCTTAACGAACCCTCTGGCTATTTGAAGTGCTTCTTATGTGTCAACTTTCTCTGGTTATATTGATTGAGTTTGGTTCTCTAGCGGAATGAAGAATGGAAACAGCAAAGATGGTGCAGCACTGTGACTTCCTTTATGAGACGCATGAGCTTCAAAGGAAGTTGGGGATATTTTTTCTCTCTGGTATTGACAAAAGCTATCAAGAAACACAGCAACTTATTTGTAGCTTGACTTCAATTGCAGGGCTTGCAGTCACAGCTCAGTTCATTTTTATTTATTAAACATGGCTTGAATGTGTGCCAGCCCTGTGTGAGTTGGTGCAGTGATTGGGCAGTACCTTCCATACTGGGTCATGATGCCGGGAGGAAAGTAGGTTGTGTAGCAGCCTCCGGAGTACTGCTCTTCACACCAGTTCTTCTCTTCATAATGGACTGGCTGTAAGAAAGAGGGGCAAAAGCTTGAAAGAGAGGCAGAGGACGGTGTCTTGTCTATTGTATATCGAGTACATACTTATAGACTTCATTGTACAGAACAAATTGCAGCTGTTTCTTAGAATCTGAAAGACACTGATTCCAAGCCTCCCTGCTCCCTCAAGCCCTTTGTAGAAAGTAGTGCAGTGTTTGCATGTAACATGTGCAACCCTCCTGCATGCTTTAATTCATCTCTAGATTATTTATAGTACACACTGCAATATAAATGTCATACAAATACTTATCACACTGAAACTTCAGGGTATTGGCAAGTTTTTCAAATATTTTTCAGAACCTGCACATACAGAAGGCTGTTTGCACTTCTGAAATACGGCCATATTATTCTGATGTTTCTAAAGACAGGTCTTTGGGCAGGTAAATGTTTTGAATAATAAACTTGTGATAATTTCAGACCTTAGAACTTTTTCTCATTTGTCACATATCTGTCTTAGTTTAATTATGTTTTGAGACAAAATTTTCTCATGTAGTTATAAGCTTACCTAAGAGTCTTGATTCTCCTCTCCCGCCTCTACCTTCCAAGTACTGGGATTGTGGAAATGCACCACTATTCCTGAACATGGGTATCTTAAGTTCTTGTTCATAATAATTATCTGTTTCCAGTTTCACTTTCTTTTTACCTATCAGAAAGCTTTTAGTGTTCAATGGTTTTGAGAAAGTTTTAAAATGATATAGTTTGCAAGGATGGCTGACCAAGAAAAAAAAATAACAGAAGTGATTATCTATGAAACAGACACTGTTTTGGTAGCAGCAAGCTTTGCTATAGGTAGAACAATCTTCATAGTATGTACTCACTATGGTGGAATGGCTAAACTTGTAAAACAACCACTGGTCTGGAAAATGTGTTTTAGCCATTAAGAGGCTGTATTTTAGCTGAGAGTTTTGCAAAATCCGAACTCCTTATAAAAATAGAGCACAGACCTAGCATCCAACACCCTCGGTTCAATTCTACCTGGGGATTGGGGAAGCCAACAGTGAATAACCTAGACAGAAAGTTTATTACTAAGCATCTTTTTGAAAACAGAAAATTGATATAACAAAATATTTAAAACTAGACTTTGAAAGCTTTTATTTTTTTAAAAAACATGCAATTATTTAATTAACTTTGCATAGTCATTTAAGGCACCCTACTGACAAAGTGTGAGGCCCTGCCTAAGTAGTGAATAACCCTAAGCATCTTTTAGTGTTCACTATGCTTTGTTTTGACATCTGAGGGCGGTTGTTGCTTCCTGAGCATCTTTCTCTGTCTCTTTGCAGCCAATCAGAAGAAAGATTGGGCATTTTCTTTCATTTCCCCTTTCTCCAAGGAATTTCATTCTCTGACACAACAAATATCAATGTCACACTGAAGCAAGTGACTTTCTTTGTATAAAAACACACACAACGACAAAGGCGACATCTTTTCAGCATTAGAAATTGATCATCAATATCCTTCTTAGAAGATACTTTATCAAATGAAAATTATCACCTTTTAGAAAATATAAAAACAACTTCTTATCTCATTAAACAATCATTCAATGATTTCATACAGTGAGGGAGAATTTGAATCACAAACTGCTGCCCCCCAAATGCCTGCTCTGGGAACAGCTCTGACTTTAGGGACAAAAGAATCACTACCTAAGCCCAGAGTAAGAAGCCCAAAGCCCCAGGTTCCTTCCTCATTACATGCACAGACAGGACTAGCTCACACTTTATGGAACCATTTATGCATCAAACCTACATGTACAGACCCTTCTGTGATTCTTCAGGAAAAGATGAACTGTAGGGTCCAACTGACACAAACCTGTCCCTGAAAATGCTTTTGGGAAAAAAAAAACAGGCCTCTCCCCATTCAAAAAAGGCTGGCAAACAACCTTACCTGCAGAGCTTCTTGGGAGTTCAGAACTTTTGCGTATAGCTCGCAAAGTTTCTTTAGTCTGTACAAGAGAAAAAAAAAATAACGTTTTAATGATGAAAGTGAAGGTTAAAGGAACTAAGACAAAAAAAAGTGAGAGGCATTTATTCCCTGTTTTAAAGTCTCTGAGTGCTAGCTTTTCCACTTTGGCATTTCATGTTAACTAATTACTGTTTTCTTTTGTTTGAGATACTACACTGCTATGTAACCCAGGTTTGCTTGGTATGCTCAATCTTCCTGCCCTGATCTCTCATGAGAGATGATTACAGGAAAGTGTGACCATATCCAACTTCATTTTAATTTTTGAAAACAAAGAATTTATCATATTTCTAATATTTTAAACCAATAGGGAGACTATTGCTAAATCTTTAAGAAAGAAACTAAAGTGAATCTCTGGGTATATCAACTTGGAAAGGTGAGTCTCAGGTTCCTCCTCTGACTTCTCGATTTGGAAGGAAAATAGTAGCAATCTGAACTTACAAGCCTTCCAAGTGAATCTAAAATTTGAAAACCACCAATATAATGTTTCTAGTCCAATAATGGCTTCTAATATATAAAAATTCTCAGCACTGTAAAGTCATTTTGGCTTTGAGTCATTAAATATGTTATCAGTTCTGGTGCTGGTATATGAATATATACGATATATATATATATATATATATATATATATATATATATATATATATTCCAGTATTGATGAAAACATGCCTGAAAAAATAACCTCCAGAGAAATTAGTCTCTGTACCTACAATCTGCAATTGCTATGCATCACTCATGTAGTGCTGCCTAACCTAGCAATTTGTCTACTTCTTTCCAACATATTCAGCACTTTTTCATACTGTTCATAGTTCTTAGCATAATGGCTTTGTACAATAACTTGATAAGTAGTAATTTAAACATTTGGTTCTTAAGTAATAAGCATTGTGGCATATAAGACCCTTGTCATTAACATAGCAGATACATCACATTAGCAATGCACTTATTATGGGGGTATTTTGTAAGTTAAAAAGTGAATAAACATTGAAAGACAACTAAATAGTCAAAAATGAAAGAAAGGAGGGAGACAAGAAGGCAGAGGAAAGAAAGGCAGCTTACTTGAAAAGCTACACTCCCTATTTAGTGTGTGTTCTTGCTCTAAAAAATATTTTCCTATCACCTTAAAAAATAAAAGGAAGGAAGGAAATAAGGAAGGAGAGTAGAAGGGAGGAAGAGAAGGAAGAATGGCAGACAGAAGGGATAGAGCAGGGCAAATGAGGGAGGAAAGGAAGGAAGTTGGCAGGAATTGAAGGAAGGAAGCAGAGAGAGAAAAGGAAGGAAGGAGGGGGGACTTGAGGACAGGGAGGAAAGAAGAGGAGAGTGAAGGAAGAAAGAAAGAAGGGAAGAACATTTTGTTACCTTTCTTCTTTGGTAAGACGTGTCAGTTTTCTGGCTTTGTGAGCAAGGATAAATCTGAAAACACAAACAAGAAAAAGTGGGCGATTTAATACTTTCTTTCATCTTAGCTTCATTTCTATAGCTACACACACTCTGTACCATGTAGAAGAAACAATTTATATACTAACAATGTTCATTGTGTCCCTGTTTTTATATTGCATTCCTGACAGTGAGGAGCACTTTCTGGCTTTGGGAGATCAAGGTTCCAAAAGTAAATGACTGGCCATGATTTCTGCCTAGGGTAATATGATGACTGAGCCACTGCCCTCCAACAGTGACCAAGAAGAAAGGACTTGGACTTCAAATGCTCACTTAGGGCTGTGTCTGAGGTCTCCAGTTCTTCCTTTCCCTCTTGCCCTTTGGTTCCGTCTGTAACACTCAGCTTTTTGGATGCTGTCACATTTCTACCTCGGCAACTGCTTTCTGCTTAACAACTTGTTTTGCTCTACCTGTTTTCGCCTTGGCCTTCTGTTGGTCATCTCAATTTTTACTCTAGGTAAATATATCTTTATATCCACTACTGACCCCCAAACACTCTTCAGCTATGCAAGTCTTCCCTGGCAAGGTGAGGATAGGGCTGGCCTTCACTTCTTTGTAGTGGGACTCAGAAAAAGTTCACTCTCATAAGTAACATTTACTGTGATTTAGATAGAGTGGTCATTACCCAAACTCATGTTGAAATTATAGTGACATTGAGAAGCGGTAGGACCTTTCAGAACATTACATTGTTAGAAATTCAAAAGACTAATATGCTTTTCGTGACAGTTGATTGCTTCTTAGGAGAGTGGGCTATTTTATATAGCAAGTTTGGCTTCTCTGCTTGCTTCTTTGAATCCACTCTTGCTATGTGATTTTGCAACAAATGTTTACTCCCTCCCACTTTTCTGCCATGTATGGAGTAGCATAATGCCCTCATCAGAAGCCTAGGACATATTGATTCCATGCATTTGCACTTCCAAAACTGTGAGCTACAGTGAAGCTCTTTTCTTCATAAGTTGGCCAGTCTTAAGAACTTTGCTACAGCAACAGAAAACATAGTAAACAACATGGATGCCCACAAACTACTTACTAAAACATTCCTCCTAGTAATACACTGAAGTAAGATCAGTCTATCATGTAAAGATGTCCCCCAAATATATCTACTAATACATTAAATATGAGGTAGAAAATTGATATAACAAAATTTAAATGTTATTGGTATTTGACATCTAGGTATTATTAATTAAAAAGAAACAATAAAATACTTCTAACACTGGATTCGGAGATTAGTACTATCAAGTAAAAAATTCTTTTAACAAAGCTTTGTATTCCTTAATCAACAATATTTTATTCCCTTGCCAATAGCAAATACAGCTACAATATTATAATTGTGCCTTACCCTATTATAGCGGCATAACTGCCATCTGGTTTGGTATCATCCAATGTGTATGCGATTGGAGCTTCCTCTCCTTCAATAACCATGGTTCCACAGAAATCTTAGAAAACAGTGAAGCGAAAGAACATGCTCATTACCCTATCATTTCACCCACAACAAATGCAATTAAGCATACAGTTTTCAACTTGAGAAATTTGGAGGCCAAACATAGCACATTATACTCTAAGTATATGAAAGCAAATTAAACTGATGTCAAGGAGATGGCTAGGTAATCAAGATCTTATGAAAAAAATGAGTAGGTCCAGACATTGTAGCACAGTTGGTACAGTGCCTGCCTAGCTTACACAAGGCCTTGGATTTGTTCCCCAGCAGTGAACAAACTGCCTGTGGTGGTCCATACCTGGAGGTAGAGGCAGGGACCTCAGCTATATAGTGATTTTGAGACCAACTATGTAAAACACAGTCTTGAACAAAAAGAACAAAATCAAAGTGGTAAATGGAAATGGAAATATAAGAGACTACATGCTCCTATTTCATGAGGAGTCGCTCCTTTTCCAACTTTTCTTTTAGGGTGGGATCTCACTATATTGTTCAAGCCAGTCATGAACTCCCGGTCTCATGTGACCTTCCTACCTCAGCCTCTTGAAGAGCTAGGACTACAGATGTGTCCTGTTATGTCTGGACACTTAATGACTTAATGCCAGTTGAAGCAGCCTTCTACTTTTAGAACACAGGGTAGAGAACACATGGGAAACTAAAATGAACCACAGAGTCCCATTTTAAACCTGACCTCTGAAGACTCTTTTCCTTTCAAGAACAACAACGTGGGTAAGAATTTTAATTCATCCTGAATTAAAGTAATCTCATCATCACTGTCTGGAACAAAATACAGTTGGACCTCTGTATCTGTGAGTTCTATAACAGTCAATTCAAACTTACTATCAAAAAAATTTAAGGACAAACTTGGTGGCACATATCTTTAATCCAAGCATGTTCTAGACAGAGACAGGAGAATTTCTGTACATTTAAGACTAGTTAGCTGGTTTACATAGTGAGTTCTAGGAAAGCTAGGGCTACATAGAGTGATCCTGTCTCAAAGAACCAAAAACATTTTTAATTAAATCTATACTAACTGAATATATCAACTTTTTTTCTTGCTATGATTCCCCATGTATGGTGTTTATATTACACAGTGTTTATATCATTTATACATATACATATATTACACAACACACATATATAGTATAAAGATATATATTGTATAATAGCTATTAGATGGCAGCATGTATTAAGTATTTTAAATAGAAATTATTTATAGTATATTGGAGAATATGTGGTAGGGAGGTGGAGAGGATCTGGAAGGAGGAGTGAAAGAATATGATCAAAATATGGTGTATTAAAAAATAACTTAGCACTAACTAATTACATCAAACAAACAAAAAACCTAAACTAGTCTTTATTCCTTGTCCTAAATTCTATCAATCTGCACATAGCCAGCTACCTAAAATTCATGGCCTGGGTCTCAGAAGGAAGAAATTCAGCCTCATTATGCTGTTGTCATTGAATTCAAAGGGCAAAGGACAGAGATCTTTGAGGTAAGTCCTTTGCAAAGGGTAGAACACTTGCTCAGTGAATGTTCCAATACAGTAAGAGCAATAACCAGGACTAGCTGCTGGGAGGGGAGTTAAGAGACTGAAGCATGGTTGGGTAAGGTTATCGATTGTCTGTCCCTCCTTATCTAGATGATTTTACTTCAAGAATTGGTGTGGAAAGTCCTTCTGTATATGTGTTGCTCTTATTGGTTAATGAATAAAGCTGTTTTGCTCAATGGCTTAACAGAGTAAAGCCAGGTGGGAAATCCAAACAGGAATGAAGAGAGAGACTAAGAGGAGACAGGGAGAAACCATACAGAGCCATAGGTGACAGGCGCCTTCACCAGAGTCTGCCAAAACTTTGCCGGTGAACCATGACCTCATGGTGATGCACAGATTATGGGGATGGGTTAGTTTAGGTTATAAGAGCTAGCTAGAGATACGCTTAAGATATTGGCCAAACAGTATTGCAAATATTGTTTCTGCGTGATTATTTCGAATCTGAGCAGCCGGGAATGAATGAACAGCCTCCAACTACAAAGAACCCCCAGGAAAACCAAAACCCTTGGGTGTGCAAGTCTTTTACATAAGGTGGGAACCTAAACACATTCTCTTATACACTAAAAGTCATTTTGAGATTGCTAAAAATACCTAATAGGATATAAATGCCACATAAATTTTTATTTATACTAAAATGATTGAGAAACTAATAAGAACAAAAAGCCTACACATGTTCAGGACAGGTATAATTCTCTTCTGAATGTTGTTCATCTGTAGCTGGCTAGATATGCATCAGCAGAACCCATGGATACAGAGGACTGCCTGTGTACAGGAAATGCTATCCTGACACTATTCTCAATTGTTTCCAGCACAGTCTTATGTCTACAGTCTTCCTCCCATTCTAGTCCACCCTGGCTTTTATTTTATCCTCAGCGGCAGGGATTGCTCTTCTTTCTAGTGCTTACTCGGTAGTTAAGTAGACATGATTAGAGAACAAAAAGAAATGATTGTACATGTTGTCCAAAGCAGCAGATACTAGTTGCATGTGGTGATTCACTCAATGCAATAAAATGCCAAAAAATTGTTTTTAGTGTCACTAGCCACATTTCGGGTAGTTGGTACCCACATGTATCTAGTGGTGTGAGTGTTAAATGCGACATCAGGAGTGTTTCAAACAATGCACAAAACAGTACTTTCATGAGCATTCCCATTCACTGTCCTACCTGGTATAGTAACATGGATGAAGAAATGGATTTTATTTAATTTAGTAGGATCTTGACACTAAGAAAACATGACCTGAAAAACTTCACAATTGCCACTTTTTGGTTGTGTGAAGTTAGGGATAAAACACAGAGTCTTGCATGTGCTGTGCAATCATTCAATTATTGAGCTACATCTCCATTTATGAATCCATGTTTTATAAATTCATGCTTTTGGTATCTTAGAAAATAAAGTCACATATTTTCATAGGGATTTGGAGAGGATTAAATAAACTTGAAATTAAATTATTGAAAGAATTGGTCAGATTCCAAGAAAAAATAATTCATGTGTTTGTGTCAATATATTTTATTTGCAAGAATTGTTCATAGAACCTGCAGTAGCAGAGGTAGTGGCACACACCTACAATACCAGCACTCAGAACGTTGAAACTACAGTATCAGGAGTTTTCTGTCCAGAATTCTAAGAAAAATAGTTATATCCAAATATGTATCTTGATACAAAGTTTCTTGGGCCTTCTCTGCTACATCTTTATGTCCAGAATGTACTTACCCCTTTTCCTCCAGAAAGGCTCTTTATAATAAACTATGCACTTAATGACTGAACCCAAAGGCACACGAGTGATCAGCTGGTTTCTTAGCATTGGCAGGGGAGGACTATAGTGAATCTTCATGCCAAGAATAGGTGGAATGGCACTAATCACATATTTAGCCTGAAAGAAAAGTAAACATGATTAAACACCATTGGCCTGCTGCAGAAGTTTTTCTTAATTCTCTCTCTCTCTCTCTCTCTCTCTCTCTCTCTCTCTCTCTCTTTCTCTCTCTCTCTGTTTCTACCCTTGCTCCCTTTTAATCCCTTAACAGTGAAGCCAGAAAGACCTCATTAAAAACTAAAACAGCCTTTAATACTCTCTAGTTCTAAACCTTTCATGCCTTCCTGGTTGCCTCTCTATTCCACATCTTCTTATTTTTTTCCCTGCCTTCATTTTGCTTGCATTTTGATCACCGTGCATTCCTCAGTCAGTCCAGATACGCTTCCAATTTAGGCCCTGGCCCTGGCTGTTATTCCATCCATCTGTAATTCTTTTCCCACAGAGTCATCTCTTTCAGCTCTGGGTTCATCTCTCTTGCCTTTGCTAACAACCTTCTTTAAAGTAACATGATCCATCATCCCAGTCATCCTTATGGGATGCCTTCTCCTTTTCCCATTTGATTTGTCTGCTGTGGAATAATGTTCTTATACACTGTAAAGATTTACCACTTGTATTGGTTTAATAAAATTCGGATTTTCCAGTAGCCAGGCAGGAAGTATAGGTGGGCTGACCAGACTAGGAGAATTCTGGGAAGAGGAAAGGCACAGTCTGCAGTCATCAGCCAGATGCAGAGAAAGCAAGATGAGAATGCCTTACTGAGAAAAGGTATCAAGCCATGTGACTCAACATAGTCAGTAATTGTGGATTAATTTAAGATATAAGAGCTAGTTAATACTAAACCTGAGTTAATAGGCCAAGCAGTTTATAATTAATATAAGCCTCTGTGTGTTTCTTTGTGACTGAACAGCTGTGATACTGAGCCGGACAGAAACTTTCATCTACATTTTTCCACAGTACTTATCACTATTTGATACACTTTGGCTATATATTTGGCTATAGCTTTAGTCTTTTGCTAAAATGTAAAATCTCATGAAGTGAGAAAATTCCAAACTCTTAAATTTATGCCACGCCCATAAGCCATGCTTGATTCTTATCAAATATTTCTTTTGATTTTATAATCACCCAAGGGTCAATTAAAGAGAGTACATTATTAATATTCTCTCCTCTCAAATAGTTTAATTCCTTTTGTTTTCTTTCAGGCAGATGTAGCTCTGGCCAATCAACTCTATGAAGTCTGGGCTATCCTTGACCTCATATATGCTTCAGCTACCCATGGGATTCTGATCGCTTTCCCTCACTTTGAGAGTCTTACTTACCTCATATATTTCATGGTTTAAGGTTTCCACAACAACATTTTCCCCATTTTGGTCAATGTGAACCACAGGCCTCTCAAGCTTCACTCGGTCCCCAAGGAGCTCCATTATCCGCTCACTCACTTGACCCGACCCACCAACAAATTTCCTTTCCTGAAAAGAAGAATACTGGACTAAAGGTGGATGCTCAATATAAGAGCTGACATAAACAGCTAAGTGGCTGTTCCCCTGACTATCCCTTCTCTAATGTATATGAAATTTCGCATTATTATTGGGAATAATTTCCTATACATTCTTGTCAGATGTATTTTTACTTACATTTTTATTGTTAAGTGGATTTTTAACTAGAGGCTATTGTCATTTGACAAAATTATAGGCTTGGCTTATTAATTCACCCTAAAGCTATATTACTGTGGATTCCAGGGCTCCAAACTGAGCTGAACATTATCAGAATAATCCTGGTTTCCCTTTTGCCTGGTTAACACATTGCTCTGGGCCCCTTCTACATTCTTTGGCTGGTCCATTGGGCCTAGTGAAACTCTACCTACAGGATGACCATTGTTTTCCTGAGTATTACTAGTACTTGTCCTGTGACTCAGAATCAGACACACCCTATTTCTGCCGTCCCTACACTACACCTCCAGCACCAAGTCATTTTCCTCCTATTTTGGGTGGGCCCACCTTATCTAGGGTCTTATGTCTGCTGCTCCAATGGCCACCAATGTCATTTCACTTCATCTTGCAGAATCTACCTGTCTTCAGCCCTGTTTTCAAACATTCAAGAGTTTCTGAATACTATACCTGGCTATGCACCACACAGTTTACCTGTCTACCTCCTCATCCTCAAGTTTTAGAGCAGCTAATTCAAAAAAGTATTATACTATTATTATTAGTAATTTTGTGTGTGTGTGTGTGTGTGTGTGCATGATGCATATGTGAGTACAAGTGTGAAGGTCAGAAAGCAATTTTGTGGAGCCAGTTTTATCCTTTCTATCTATTCCTGCTTGAGTTCTTGAGATTGAACTTAGCTGTTAAACTTCTATAGCAAGCTGTTTTACCTGCTGAAGAGCTCATTATTTCTTGATTAACTTTTAAAAGACTTTTTCAAATAGGTCTACAAAGAAGGGGGAAAAGGGAAGGAGGAAGAAGAGAGCATAGTAGGTGAAGAAGACAGGAAGGAAAGGAGTAAAGACAACCAAACAGATTAAAAACTTAAATCCATTTTATACTCTGCCTAACGGGGCTTTACACAATGCTCAGAAAGCAGGCATTGAATAAATAAAATGAAGAATGAATCCTCACATGTGGCGTCGCTTTTCAAAACACTCACCTCTTCCTTCCTTCATTTATTTTCTCCTTATTTCTTTTTCTTTCTTAGTACTGGGAAAGGATCCAGAGCCTGTTCCATTCCAGGGAAGTGTTCTATCAATGAACTACAGCCCATACCTTGGCATGTTCTTTAAATTTAAGTGCATGTCTGTCTTTTCTTGTTTGGAATTTCTGAGGAGCCTCTTAAAATTATGCTGGCTACTTGGATACCTGACAACAGATGGTTCCTTCTGAAAGATACTTGAAGCTACCACAGTAAATAAAGCATGACAAATTACAAGCCTGTCTCATTCATCAGCATCTAGTGACTGCAGATTGATACTTATTTCTGTAATTTCTGTAGTAGTGAGTTTGTGTGGGTACAGTACCTGCCCTCCATTGGTTGTTGAGATGATTCTAGTTGTGCCCCCGCACTGCTTTACATACCACAGAAACCACAAAGCAGAGACCTCATGGGTCTCTGCAGTGACACACAGGTTCACAAAGAGAGTAGCAAGTTGCTTTGCTGATCTGTTCAGAAAGAAACAAGAGTATGATTCACAAATGCAGAACAGAGCCTTCTGAAAGGTCTAGAGTAGTCAAGTTTCTTGTTTCCTTGGCTATGTTTATCACAATTTAACAAACTTCTGGAATTCAATATCATAAAACATGAAAACATGGACTTAGAAATGTGGTATTTATGCCCCCTAAAACAAAACACCTTGTTCAGAATTGACTTCATCATAGCCTGTGGCATCAGTTGCCCCTACACACTCTCTAGTCTTCCTGAAATTCTTATTTTGGTAAAAGGCACTCCCTTTCACTAAGTGGTTAAAGCCAAGACTTTCAAAATAAACTTGAATCTCTGTCTCTATCTCTCTCCTCCCAAAAATCCAAAGTGTATTTATGTGCACCACATATGTCCAGTTGCCCAAACACACCAGAAAAGGGTTTTGGATCTCTTGAAGGTAGAGTTTCAGGTGGCTGTGAGCCACTTGATGCAGGTGCTAGGAAGTGAACCCAAGTCAAGCTATCTCTACAGCTGCTTATCTGTTGTTTTTTACTTAAAAACCTATGATAAAATTTAATTTATAGATCTAGGGATGTGGCTTGCCCATTTTGTGTGAAGATTTGGGTTCAGTCCTGAGCACTACATAATCCTTTAATGTCCTAATTAAAGAAATTATCAATAGCTAATAATAAAATGAATAATCATAAAATTATGAAGTAATAAAATTTATGTGAGTGTAGTCTATCTTTCCCATGAAGACAAATGTTCTTTTTGGACAAAGACTAATGATGATTAATTGAAGCTGTATGTAAAGGAGAAAAACTGCATCTCCCTGTGTCAAGCAGATCCATTCTTAATCTGAAACTCTGGGAGTTTCAGCAAGAAAAAAAAAATGAACTTTACAGCATTTAAGGGATGAAAGGTCAAGAAATCTAGAGAAATAATGTTTTGTAATTTTGTCTTCTTTACTTTAAAAAAGATAAACATTATATTAGTTTCATTACATAAATATATACACATTAGATGAGCTTTGATTCATAATTCATAAGATAAAAATATGAGGCAATGAGTATTTTCCATATCTCTGCCATCCAAAAGATAATTACAAGTCTATTTTTGATGTGTTCTTTTTCTACAAATAGCTTTTTCTAAAACATAATTGCATACCTATGATCCCAATGAAAATACACTTTGCTCTTCTGAACAACATTTTATAAATCATGACTAAGGAAATGACCAGCACTAGTCTTTGAATGTATGTTTGTCATTTTTTATTGTTTTTATTGAGCTCTACATTTTTCTCTGCTCCCCTCCGTTCCTCTCCCCTCCCCTTCAACCCTCTCCCATGGTCCCCATGCTCCCAATTTACTCAGGAGATTCTATCTTTTTCTACTTCCTATTTAGATTAGATCCATGATATGTTTCTCTTAGAGTCCTTATTGTTGTCTAGGTTGTCTGGGATTATGAATTGTAGGCTGATTTTCTTTGCTTTATGTCTAAAAGCCACTTATGGATGAGTCCATATGATATTTGTCTTTCTGGGTCTGGATTACCTCATTCAATATGATGTTTTCTACTTTGAATAAGAATAGGCTAATTGTTCTGGGGGCTGTTTCCTATAAAGTCAGCAAATGATCTCATGTACATCTTGCTTCGTAATAATTAGAAAATGCCACAATTCTTCTTTAAATAAATATCTCAACATTCTTTCTGTGAGTTGACCACCACAGTATTCACTAACTGGAGGTTGAGGTCAAGGCTGTTGTAAGAATCTCAGGTCTCTATGAACTTAGAGAAACATAATTGATTCCATTGTGAAGATGCCTAAAAGCTCTTTGAGGAAAAGGATCAAATATAATTTATTAAAAAATCCCATAACAGAAGTTCCAGAACAGATATAGATTATCTTATTGGAAATCTACAAACTTTGTAAATAAACATAATTCTACTCCAGCAAAAATATGTTCTATTATAAACCATGTTCTCATATGAAGTTTTAAATGCTGTAGATAAGTGTTCTTAAATGATACAATAGCCATAAATTTTGTGGCACAAATGATCATTTCAGAATGGATTGCTTTCAAGGGCATGTTACACAATATGTGCCTAATAATAATAATGATGATGATGATGATGATGATGATGGTGAAAGCTTTGAGGCAGTCAAAATATCCAACTGAACAGTAATAGGTAAATGCAGTGTACCATTCACTATTCATTAAATATATTGCAGCGAATGTCCTTTATTTTTTATAATGCATATAATAAATAATTTTATTTTCAGAGTTGTGATTGTATATCTCATCATTAATAATCTTTGAAAGCCCACTTTTCTTTTTCTTTTTTAAAATTACTACGCCACTTGGCCAATAGTTTAGGCTTCTTATTAACTAATTTTTCATGTTAAATTAACCCATTCCTATTATTTTGTATTTTATCACAAGGCTTGTGGTTTACAGGTAAAGCTCCCAGAAAGCCTCTTTTTCTATGTGTTTAATATTATTTTTTAAGCCACTAAGTATTCTTCTACAACGTGATTTTAAAACTTTCTAGTTTATCCCATCTTTCGGATACCCTTTATTTCATCTAATCAGTCTTTGGTTATTAGAGCTTCAGATCCTCCCTGAGGAGTGGATAGACAGTGGGGTTGGAGGAGCAGAAGGAGGGGAGGGAGAGGGATTGGTATGTAAAATAAAAAAAAATTGTTTTAAAAAATAAAATAAATAATACTGGAAGTAATCTCTCTCTCCTTTCCACTCTAAGATGAATTTTAAAAAGTTGAATTCCTATAACAAGAAGTCTGTCTATTGCACATATCTTGATTCTTCCCACATCATAGATTCAGATATATCTAAAACCTTGTTTTTACTTTGAGTGGTCAGTGTCATCACTTCCTTAACATCCAGAGCATGAAAGTATCAACTTCTGAGTCAAACAGATTTTCAAGACATTCTATTTATCATGATAGGAGAGTTTTCTTGATATTGATTCTCAGTTCTATTACTTATGAACTTGAAGACTTGCAATCCTTTCCACTTTTTCTGCTGCCCAGGAGATGTGAGGCCTATGGAAACCGCATTCACTTTCCACTGCTGTGAACGAGAACTTTAGCCTTGACTCAAGTGTTTTCTTTAGATACTATAGGCTTTTCGCTAACTGGGACAAGTAGGTCTACTCACAGGTGTCCTCTAACAGGTGTGAATTACCTAGAAGTCGCCCTTTAAAATACTGAAGAGTTGCACTGTATTATAAAAGGTGTTTCAAATGCCTGTGCTCTCTACACTTGGCCACCAGTGAGGAATACAAACTATCCCTACGTCAACAACCTCGGGAGACTGTTAAACCACCGGACCTCAAAATGTTCTAAGAAAAAATGGCTGATTCTGGTTAGTTCTGAGGACTTCATAGGGGAAATAGCAGCTTGGTGGTACAAAACTACACCAAAGAAGTAAAATATACCTATATTTAGAGGAAGACTTCATTTCAGGATCTTTCAAATATTTACTTAGTGTTATGGTTTTAGACATAAAGCAGACACTTGATTGCCTCCTGCCTGTTAATTGGCATATGTAAATAAACCCCAAGGTTTTTCACAATAAATGCTTTTGCCCAATGGGAAATCTTACTTAGTCCAGCAGATCTTATCCAGCAACTCTTTCATTGACATGTAGTCCCACTCTTCTGCAAGGGGTGCCTTCCAAGGAGCATCACTGGGAATCTACATTGAGATGCATTAAAGAAGAAATAAAGACAATTTTCCATTCAACTAACTATTTGCACAACATTAAACGATTTAACTCAAAGAAGAAAAAATTTAAAATTTAATTTTCCAAGTGCCCCTAATAGTTTCTCAAATATCATAAGTCTCTCTGTCTGTGTAGCTCTTCTGTAACAAATCTATAGCACTCAATTTATACTTACTTTCCTTTAGAATTAAGATGTTTATCTTATAAAATATATCTACGATAAAATTTAATTATCACACCATGCACAGAAATATATTAGCAATAACAAAACAATGTTTATAACAATGTATTGTAATAAGCTATGTGAATGTTGTCTCTCTGGAATTTTCTATTTAATATTTTTCAACTGCAGTTGGCCATAGATAATTACAATCATGGAAACTGAAGCTACAGCTAAGGGGAATTAAGTTAATAGCTTACAGATATCATTCACAAATTCAGCTCTTTAACTTGGATGAAAGAATTGCAGTTAACCATCTGGAAATCAGAGTTTTCAGTTAAAGCTTCCATGTGTTTATTTGGGAGCTGAAAGTTTGGGTGTGATGGATAATCAAAGAACTGTCTATGTCCTGGGGATTTTCTAAATTAGAAATATCATCCCAGAAAGGCTTCAGGCTTCATACTTCTCAACTTGCTCAATAAGTGTATACAGATAGAAGTATTTTTGACAGCTCATTCTTTTAAACATTAGAAACAAATTAGTTCATTTATTTTACTGGTGTATATTGATTGTTAGGATGTGCTGGGCACTATGTTATGCATGTGGGATGACCAATACTTTGTACCTTCTTTCTTCTGAAGAATAATGAAAATTACATATGCAGTTTTAGGAAGTGTTACCTCATCACCCATCTCATCCATTGTCCTCCAGAGGTTGTTATGATCTAGGTAGGCGATTGGATTCCATACTGCTGGGAATGGGCCTCTGAAGGGATATGATTTTCCCTGTGAGATACAAGAATTTAGAAGAAAATGTTTAAAACAGTGTAAATCATAAACTGCTTAAAGCAGTCATGTATCATAGAATCTGATTCCAAGGGAATAGAAAACATGCCACCATGTTTTTAAGGATTATTTGGTGATATCCTAGTGAATTAAACTGTGAGGACTCAGAGAAGAGTAAGAATTCTGTGCTAGCCTGTGAAGACCTGTGGCACTGTGTACATCCTCTGCCTCACTGTACTTTGGGATAACCATGTTTTTCTTCATTTATTGAGCAGGCTCAGAGAGCTACGTAACAGACACTAACAAAACACTACTGCTTAAGTATGCCTTGGAAATTAGGTAACACTAGTTGAGAGAAGAAACTATGTATCACTAGGGCCATGGACAACTCACTGGGTGAGGTTGCTTCCTATACCACCAAGCCTAAGAATACAGTCCCGGAGGTCCTCGTGCTAGGAGAAAACAGTTAGCTTTGTTCTAGTTGTTGGGGTTTTATTTGTTTGTTTGCTTGCCTTTTCTGTTCCTAACTCCATCATGAATTTTTTATATGAGGCAGTAGGTAAGAACATAAAAAATACATACATATAGAAAAAAAGTAAGATCCAATGTGCTGCTTCACAGCTTCAGAATGGCTGTGAATGGCTGTTCTAATTGCATAAAAGTTCACTGAGATGTATACACTTTGGATCTGGTTAATTTCTGTGTGCAATTTTTTATCCACAAGTTTTTTTATAATAAAATTTATGAAAATTAAAATAAAATAAAACAGTGTAAATCTTGCTAAATCTGCCACGTTGGCATTTTTGAAACTTATTTATTTTTATTTTATGGGCATTGATGTTTTGTCATGGGTGTCAGGTCCCCTGGAATGGAATTACAGACAGCTGTGAGTTGCCAAGTGAGAGCCGGGAATTGAACATGGGTCCTCTGGAAGAGCAGTCAGTGCTCTTAACCACTGACTCATCTCTCCAGTCCTAAGTTGGCAATATTTAAGAGCAAATCATGTTGCCAATATCTAATACATGCTCAAATCTTTTGGCACCTGTATCCATAGAATCCTGTTCAGCTTTTTGGCATAGACATCTCCAAAATATCTTCTTTCAATCAAATAAGTTTGGTGGCGTGTTAAGCAGAGTAAAGAGGATTGTCTCTGAAATTGGGACCCTTGCCTATAAAATCTAAATGCCAGTAGAGAACAGTTACCTAGAGGCATCTGTGTTGTCAATAATATTTGTAACTATCTTAGAATCATGGGCCGGTGTGTACACAGAGAATCAGAGAATTACAATTATAAACACAATGCAAGTTAGAAGGGATGAGAAGCCATAGGTGTACAGTTATGAGAAGGAAGAACCACAAAACAGAACCCGGTTCACTCTTCCAGGGAGTTGGAAGTCTAGATGCATAGGAGTTTTCAGAGATCAGAGAAATTGAAGCAGAGAAATAAAACAACCCAGGCCTTCCATGAAAGCACTTTGACTCTAGCTAGCTCTCCCCACTAGGATAACACTTTGACATAGGGATATCGAGCAGAGCCCCATAAAATACTGACAATAAGACAACATACAGATCACACCTGGGAGGCCTAACCTGCTTGTGGCAGTTAAAGGATACATACAAACCCACTTTCTGTCTATTTAAAAACCTGTGTCAAAAGACAGGTTGTGCATTACTACAGCGTCTTTCAACTGAATCAGAATAAGCTTCCCAGTAACTCTGAGTCATTCAGCAATTGTGCATCTTATATTGTTTTTGTAACCAGGGCAACTGAGAAGCAAAATGGGAAGAGGTTTCATGCTAACTTTTGGATTAATTCTGTGACCATCTTGGTCTCTTTTTCCTCCATAGACCATAAGAGTCAGAAAGAGGAAAGGGTTCTTAACAACAAGATGCAGACAGAGAAAGAGAGGGTAGCTCATACGAGAAGGACACAGACATGGTCAAAACCTTCAAAATTGGCCAGTCACTTTGAAAAGAGACATGATTCAAATTCAAAGGCAGTGCATTAGTAGAATTCCCTCTTCTCCAAGGTCTAGCTCTTTATTCTTAAGTTCCAGGGAGCACAAGATAATTATTTCAGAAAGGGAGACCCCCAGTCTTACTTTCGAGTTTGGCCTGGAAAAGAGGGAAGGACAAGTTCTATGCCAAAGCAGAGTCAACTGACAAAGCGTGACCTTCAGTTAAGACTTCATCCCACGACTGCAGCCTGCTTCTCCTACACTCATCTTCCAGCCTGGACACCTTGTGAGATGGGTACTTCTCTGCAGCCCTTTTCTCCTTCCTCCAAGGATAACACCTTTGCATAAATTGTTGCAGGTGGAAGTGAAACATAGGGGTGTTGGTAGGTCTCTTACAAGATTCTGTTTGACACAGTATAGCTCAGAGGTTCTGGTAAAATATTAGCCAAGATAAGGTATACGGCTTTCCTAACCACAAGATATTAATCAGCAAGGTGATAGTGACCAAGTGCCAAAGTGATTCTAGTCAAGGACCTTCTTAAGTGTGAGTAGTAACAATCTGGATGAACAAATTGGCAAACAAGCAACATACCAAGAACACCATGCTGAAGAATACACATGCATTTCTTATGCATGAATTTGCTCACAGTCCTCAGTGCCTTACATCTAAGCAAATAATGATTTAGTTCAGTGTACTCATAAAAGCAAGTATGCTTTTAGAAGATGAGGGAAAGTTTCTTATAAATACAGGAAAGAGCTATTGTTGGATGACTCATTAAAAAATTTTCAAAGTTTTAAGCTTCAAGGAATAAACAAGAAAGGAAGGAAATGGAAGTTTATAAGACCACACAACCAAAGGCACTGCAAGAGATTTGGAGCTCAAGTTTGGCTATGGTATAAACAATCCTGCAATTGTAACTGTTTTGAGCACTGTCCAAGACAGCCTGTCCTTCTGAAGAAATCATGAAAAGACATCAGAGTAACCCCCAGCTCACGAAGCGCCAAGTTCCAAAGTCTAATTCTGGATAACATTTTTGTTTTGTCCTCAAAATAGCCCTGCGATGTAGCATGGTAATTTTTTTTTAAAATATCGTGGGTTAAAAAGATAGAGCACAAATAATGACTGCTTTGAAATATTACAAATCTCAGGTGAAAGCTACTGAACTTTCAATCTACAGTAGCTGCATAGGTCAAAAGTGTGTACATGTGTGTACTCATGTGTACTAATGTGCATGTGCATGTGTGGAAAGAGAATGGGGACTATCTGGCAATTGTCAGGAAATAATCATTAGCCTATATATAGACTGTTGACTAATACCAAAATCTCTATGATCAAAGAAAGTTAAATAAGTTTTCCAAAATAAGCACTATAACACATGGGTTCCACCAGAGGGATTAAGGTGTTTGGGAGAAAGGTACATTATCCTCTGGGCTCCCCAAACAGAACAGTCCCAAGCTTTTTGAAAGATACTTCAAGGAATGTGGAAAACTGTGAGGAGGTAGGAAAGGTTGAATAGCAAAGATTAGTAACTATGCTTGGTTTAAGTGTCATACACAGTTAAGCATACATGCATACACACACACACACACATACTATTGTAAAAATTCTAGATGACAAGGAAATTATGACACTTAGATCTTTATGGTGCACAGTATTACTCTGTAGTAGAATACTTGCCTATCATCTACTGGGTTTGATCCCTAAAATTACAGGATGTAAGATTAAAGCAAAGTAATCATTTATAGCTTTCATCAAACAAAAAATAATCATGCTTATAAATACTTCAACATATTTATTTCACCCATTTATTCATTTATACATTTGATGGTTGAAGTATAGGTATCTAAGCAATTACTTTATTGCTAGTTTTTAGTCTATTTTATATCCTAAACATGTTGTATGCCATTTCTTAAACCTTGTCAGCCATATTTTTCTCGATAAATAGATTATATTTCATTATGTATGGAGACTAACCATAGTCAAACTGAACTTAAAGGATCCTGCAGGGTTTCTGAAATGAACAGGGTAGAATTAGCTGTCTCCATTTTCCAACCGTACATCCATACGATGGAAATTTTTTAATATATTCCATCCCAAACAACATGTTTCAATGAGTTAAATGTTAATGAAGGCACAATAACCCAGCTATTTTTCATGGAGCTAGATGCGAACAAGTTATGCAAAAAAATGTAAATACATGCTATCCACTCATATTTTTCATTTAAAAAATTCTTAACTTTTTCTCATACAATATAATGTGAGCCTATTATATTTTCTTTTCCAATTTTCTAGATCCTCTCAACCTCCCTAACTGCCCAACTTTATTCTCTCTTTCCCTCTCTGTCAATAAAATCCCCCAAGCCAAAAACTGAAAAATGAACAACAACAAAAAGCTCACAAAAAGGGGAAAATTACCTAACCAAACCCACTCAGAAATGTGAGGGCATGCCCTGGAGTGTGGTTGATATTCCACACAGATCTTCTTCCTTTGCAAGCAGATGTTAATTGGATACAGCTTCTTGGTTAGGGGTGAGACCCTGTATTCACTCTCCCCTCCTAGTACTGGAATCCCATTTGCTTGAGCCTGTGCAGGTCTTATGTGTATTGTTACTGTGTGCTTGTGTGCACGTATGTCAGTCCTGTTCTTTCTGGAAGACCCTGCTTCCTTTGTGACACCCACGACCCTTTAGCAGGGTCATGTATGGGCTGCATCTCATGGAGTAGGCCTGAATATAATTTTAGAAAGTACCTTATTACTTTCCTATTTCTGTTATTATTATACCAGTATACCTTGTGTGCTGGACATTGTCATAGGTCTCAGGGTTTGTAGCTCGGTGATACTAATGATTATTTTCTTACCCTGGTAGTGTACATAGTACACACAACACCATAAGTCCTATTCTGTAAAATGAATGACAGTGAGCTGTGCTCCCGCTGCCCAGCTAGCTTTACCAGAAATAATTACACAGAAATTGTATTCACTTAAACATTGCCTGGCCCATTATCTGTAACATCTTATTGACTAACTCTCTCATATTGAG